AAGAGAAGAGCGACCCTTCCACTGCCAAACTGCCTAGTTGAATCGAAACTCCTACCACGAATCCCACCCGAAGTCAATTCTCCCAAAGCCAAAAAACACCAAGAAAGCTTCCCACACCGCCAAACCGAGCCCCCTAACACCACTAGTGGACTCCGGAAGAACAGTGAGCACCCCCGAACCCAATGATTCAGGGAAATAGAAGTTGACTCGATGCTCCAGCCCCAGCCCCACCATCCTGAAGTCACAAGACGCCATAACCACCGAAGAACCCAACCCCGAACGCACACACCAACCTCTGCCTCCCCACATTGAGCCGCAGCCACAGAGCTTTGTCAACATTCGGAGAAACCAGAGGAAGCACCGCGTACCGCCAATTGCAGGCAAAAGAAAACCGAGACAACAACGGCAAGAAGAGGAGACAAAATCTTAATCGAGACCGGCGAAACCAATTCCGACCAGTCCTCAACTAAAAAGACCGCCGCCTACAACCACCATTCCGCCGGCGAAAAGGGACATTGCAGACTGGCAGACCCCACCTCGGCGACCAGCAAGACGAACCAAAAAAATCCATCAGAGCCGTCGAAGGAGAGAACGGAGAGAGGCCACCGTAGAAGTCAACGACGCTCAGACCCAAGATGACGAACAGCCAGAGCCGTACCCAACCCTAATCCATCGCACCGCGGCCCTTGGACCCGCCACTGCACCGAGTAGGCCGGAGATCGCGAACCCAAATCCAGTTGCCGGAAAAAGCAAAAATAAATTTGGCGACCTCGTAAGCTACCAGCACCCGTGGCGAGAAGGGTCGCGGCATCAGGAAGGGCCGGGCGGCGAGGGTTCGGCTACCGGCACAGCGGAATGCCGAGAGGAAGGCAACGATTTTTCAGATTAATTGTTAGTGGATTGATTTTATATTAAAATAATATTTAAAATGAAAAATTAAAGTTGATTTGATGAAAAACAGGAGAGATGATATGAAGTGATAGATAATTAAAATTATACGAGTAAATGAATAGTAAATTAAAGTTGATGATATTGAGTGATAGATGGTTAAAACTACGTGAATAGATGAATAGTAAATTAAAGTTGATGTGATGCGTAATAATGATTGACTGATTTCATTTAATTATACTGATAATATTGAAAATAGTGAGGTTGAATTAAAATTAAATTATATTTTAAGTATGAATTGAGTAAGGATTGAGACATTTCATATACAACCACACCCTAAACTTCTCAGTGAACCACTTGATAGAGCTGTATGTAGAAATGGATTAATTGAAATTTATGAATAAAATGATTGGTTTCAACTTTAATTTAGGGCTTGATTTTAGGGCTTGATTGTTTATGTTTCATTCTCATTTATTTCATACTCAAAATCTAACTCAACTTTAACTCAACCTCATTATCTTTAATATTATTCATATAATTAAATAATACAAACCAATCATTCGTACACATCACATCAACTCCAATTTACTATTCATTCACTCACATAATTTTAACTTTCAATCATTTCCAATCATTTATCTCCTACTTTTACATCAAATCAATTTTAATCATTTTATTTTAAATATTATTATAATACATTCTTAAAATTCTACTAACAACTAACCATACCGCTTTTTCAAAATTAACTATGATGAACCAAAATAATTCATTTTGAACAAATTATTTCATAAACAATCACCCCCTTAAAAATTATATTTCATAAATTGAAAAGAACAAAATAGTGGAAAAGTGAAATGAATGAATAATGTATATATATTTACTGAAAAATTAAATATATTTTTTTTTTTCTCTTGCGTCCGATACCACCACTGCACCAGAAAACATTTTCCCAACAGAGTTTGTTTTACAGTTAACATTGAGAAGCATTATGGGTGAGTGATTGTCTGCAACTGCCATTCTCAGTTGACAATGGTGCCTCACACTACCACATATTTGGACTTCAACCCCAAAAACACAAGAAGGCCACTCAATAATATGTTCCTCCCAAGAATCACCAAGAAAACCAAAACCCCGCAACTCTCAAGTGTAGAAAGCAAGAACAGTTAAGTTAACCTTACAGAGAGACCCAACACAATACAGAACAAGAACAAGTAACAAGCGTTCCTTTACTGTACTTCCCTTTTTGCTCCTAACAATCCTACTATCTCCATGTTTTCCCCTGTGCGTGACCATCGGCTTACCAAAAAAAAAATAACGCCTCACATGGCCAATTCCGAGCCCAAATCCAAATCAAAATCACTCAACCAGAAATTACAATCTTCCTCCCTCCCCGGCTTTAAGAAATCCAAATCATAATCGTAAACCGAAAGTGCCTTCTCATGACGCAAATTACCATAAGACCCCTCGTGTGGGATAGGCAGCATATGATTTCCTTTTGTAACCCGCACCATTTGGTCACCGTCTTGAGAATAGTTATTCAACTCGGCAAGCAGCTCATCTACATCAAACATCTCTTCCTTTTCGAACCTCTCAAATTCGTTTCCCAACGTCTCACGATTTCCTAATAAACAATGTTCATCATCCTCTATAACCTTGTCTAAGACTATCATCTCGCCTTCTCTCTTGATTACTTCATCTTCTTTCGCATCTGTTAATTCCTTTTTCACGACTGCTAATGGAACACTTGGCTCACGAGAAGCCTTCGACAAACCTTCATTATCATCGGTTTTAAGCTTGTGAATGTGTTGTTCCTTCAAGACAACCATATCATGACAAACCTCCGAACAGCCAGAGTTTGCGGACGTTGTAGCAACTGCTGATGAAAAATCCTTAATATCCTCACTCGAAGGGAAATTTAGACGGGCAAACGAGCCGTACATAGCTCGGGCTGCCTCATCGTAAGCATAAGCAGCTTCGGGTGCACTGGAATACGTGCCAAGCCATAACCTGTTTCCTCTGTGTGGCTCTCTGATCTCAGCCACCCATTTTCCCCATGTTCGCTGCCGAACGCCTCTGTACTTGCAGAGCGAGTTCTCGGGCCCACCTTTACCTTTCATGCAGCCCTTTCTGGATCCCTTAGCGGGTGCTCGTTTGACGGGTTTGATTACCTGGTTAACAGAGTCGAGCTTCGTGTTGTAATTTTTCCACTTTTCGAGAATAGTAGCCACGCTCTGGTCACCGGTCTTCCGGATTCTTGATTTTTTCTTTCTCGGTTCACAAGTCAGTAATGAAGTTTGATATAGCAAAGCCATACTTGAATCTCTGCAACAGAACATAGAAGAAACACGGGTAAGCTACACATATTCATCGAGGGGTGCAAATCTGAAGAAACTATTGGACCACTAATCACATTCAGGTCACCAAACAAAATTCAATCTTTATGTAGAATTCACAGAAAGCTAAATAAACCTATATTTTCACATAAAAACCAGAAGAAAAAAAAACCTAATTCAAGAGTAGAATCTAGAAAACAGGGCATTTGAACCAATTAACTCAACGAAGAAGAATTACTACCGGAAAAAAAAAGCCCAAATCAACAGGATAACAGAAGGGGAAACTCGAAAAAGACAATATGAAACCTCAACATACGAATCGTATTCAAAAGCAAGGACAACAACTACACATACCTCTGCCCAATAATCTCCTCGAAAATGCGATTTTTCTCCAAACAAAACTTTATCCAGTTACTGTTGATTTTTGTGAGACTATAAAAAATCCCGCAAGCAAAGTGGAGGAAGAATTTGGGATTTGGAGATGGCTCGTATTTATAGCCTTGTGCTGATATTTCCAGATTTTTTAACTTGTGGCAAAACTTGAGATTTTTCTATTAGGTTTTAGTGGTGACGTGGTGACGCGGACACCGAATATCTCTGGCACGTGTCACGTGAAGCTTTCTCAACCACACGATTTTTGTGGTGGGAATCGAGGGTTGGGATTGTGTCTGTTGCTAGCCTATACGTACTGTTTTTTCTTGGGAGGTAAGCAACAGCCTGTCAGTGTAAAAAAAATATCTCGGCCTTCTGTTTTGACCCCGCAATTGTAGTCAAATTGCGTATGTGCCCCTGGTTTATAACTTGCAATATTATATTTGATATTAAAATCATCTAAAAAACCACAATCGTGTTCAAATTACAAATTATAAATTGTATTTTACTATAAAAAGTATTTTAACTTACAAAGGTAAAAAACGCACAATATTTTTATATCCAAATACCATGCCAATTGCCATTTCTATCATTTTTTTTCTATTATTTCCGTCTCTATCAATAATGAGTGGGGACCACAAAACAAGATGAGTCATATCTGTGTGTGCCTGCCAGGATGCCACGTGTCATTAGCCCACTCATATTTAATTGCGATTGCAGTGACATCTGTTTCATATTTTAAAAATCGTAAGGGATTACGTAAATAGTTACACATATATTGACTGAAAATCGTAAGGGATTACGTAAATAGTACCACGCTTTCTCTTCCCACTAATGTTCTTTTCATATAAATAAAAGTCGTTTTTCATCTGCCCTTATCAATGGACCTGGACTTCTCTCTTCAATTTGTATTGGGTTCAAGGCCTAAGTTGAAAAAAAATGACTTCTTGAAGCCCAATCCTCGGACGAAATCCCCAAAATCACAAAGATTCAAATTCAAAATCCCTAGCTTTTACCACTCCACTTTGGAGAAGAATGCAAAGCCAAAAATCAGCTTCGAGTGGTCAAAATGAACAATGAAGGTACAGAATATTACAATTCTTTATCTAGCAAATGTCTTGTAGAACTACATAATTTCCCAAGGTTCGTTTGTTCTTGTTTTCTCTTTACTCTTTGCTGATTGGTACCGTTATCCATCTTTTGGAAATGCTTTGTCCAAGCTCTAAGTGGGTTTACTTGTTTGCTTTCGTACTTGTGAGCTCCCGTTGCCTGTGTGGTTATCGATTATCTGGCCAGTTCCTTCCCTTCTTTCTTTTGGTTATGAGCTATTTTTAAGGGAACTGTTTATGTTTCTTTTAGTTATGAGCCTTTTTTGGATGAGCTGTTGAAGGAAATATATTTGTCTCTTTTAAGTGATGAGTTAATTTTTTGGATGGGCTGTTGAAGGAAACTGAACCGGAATGTAAATGGAATGTGTTTATGATTTGGTGATGAAGTTAATGCTCAGTCACTTCATTGGTAACCTAAAATGTGTGTTTTCACTTTTTTTCGCCACGTGTAGTGACCGTGTATAGATTAATTGTTGTGTAAGCTGATGAAAATATAGTACGATACCGATCAGTTAATTTGAATGCCGGTTGATTGGGCTGGTATAAATAACTCTTAAAGCATTCACGATATACCGGTTAGAACCAGAAAATGCTCGACCACGAACCAGATATAATACGGGCCGCCAAAAATGTTCAAAACCGTTTCTTAAGAAGCATTCATTGTTTTATTGGTTCCATTTGGTTGCTCATATATTGGAATAAAGTTTTGCAGTTCATGTTAAGGACTCATTGCAGGAGCAAAAAATAGTAAAAACTTTTAAAAATATCTTCTTCAAATGTTTGGGGAAAACAATACAACTACATTCATATATGGTGCTTTGCTGGAGATATTGCACCATCTCATCTTGCATATTTTCCTATATAACAAATCCAACAATGATGAAAGAACAAAAAAAATAAAAAAAAAACAAAACAGCCCCCCAGTGGGGGATAAACAACAGTACAACTCGTATGTTTCTTTTAACCAGCACATTACTGATTCTTTTCTGCTAGAAACCATAATTTGTTATGAAAATCTTATGTTACTTCAGCTAACAGACAGGAAGATCCTTAGGAGGCGCCTCTAACTTCTGAAGTGGACTAACACCATCTTCGACCACGAAAGCCATTGCCAAACCCCACCCGATATGGACATCCAAGTGGCAATGCAGCAGCCACACCCCTGTTTACAAATAAAAACTTATCCATTATCACTTTCAAGTAAAAAAAAAAAATGTCAAACGAAGATGCTTGTGCTTGTTAAATTAGTCATCACCTGACTTTGGGTTCTAGAATTATGAAGCAACTTCTAAATAATGGCAAGATCAGTCTTAGATATTTGGCCAAGTTAGACAATTAAATAATATGAATAATCCTAGAATATCTAGAAATTAGGTGATATCAAATTACTAACCCGACTTACTAGATTCTTAGACAGTATAAATAATGTGAATCTTGATAAAATAGTTAGGTGTTTTGGTCTTGATAAGTGAAGTGTTGTATCTTGGTCCATATTGTATTAGTAGTATCCACGTACCTGGATTATCGGCAACAAATCTGATCACAGCCCATCCACCTACAGGCACACTGGCAGTGTTCCTCAGAGGAGGATCCACCAGATTGAATTTTGACGCGTCCCTTCCCTGGTTAAAATTCCCAAAACCTTCTGCAACTATGTAGAAATCGTAACCGTGCAAATGGATCGGGTGATTCTCAGCAGTGAAGATGCTCGTCCCCTGCAGCACCACCTGAACCGTCTCCCCATACTTGATCCTGTAAACCTTAGTCCCGCGCACGGGCTGCCACAGGGCCCGACTCACGTTCCCCGTGTAGTCGAACTGAACTGGCGGGTTCCCAGGGAAATCGCTCGTGAAAACCCCTTGTATGCCTTGCTTATGTGCTTGGAGCAAGGAAAAATTCGACGGGAGCACGAACGAGACGTTGTTCATGCTGGCTCCGAACCGGGTCCCGTTCGGGCCCTGGCACGTGCTTCGGCTTGCGCCAGGCGGGCAATTGAAAAGCCCGAGCCCGACCGTGAAGAAAAGGCTGTGGTCAATGTTGGTGGGGACGGGAGCTCGGTTTGGGCTTCTGAAGCTCGTTGTGAAAGCAGTTGCCGTGGGCGTGTCGTTAAAAGCGGGCATGGAGGGCATAACGGGCTTGATCTTGGAACAACGGGCCGTGCAGGGGGTAGATTTGTACTCGAGGATTGCAGTTGTGGTGGTGTTGTCGAATGGGGCGCCCTGCGCACTGGCGTAGGCTCGGGCCGCAATGTAGTAACGGGCCGCGGGCTGGTCGGTTTTGATGAGGACATCGGTGGTCTGGCCCGGCCCGAGCATGAGGACGTCGGTGGTGAAGGGCTTCACGTAGGAGGCGTCGGCCCCAACTACCGTGAGCTTGTGGTTGGCGATTTTGAAGAAGAGCTGCTGGTTTAGGGCTGAGTTGACGACTCTGAGGAGGTTTGTTTCACCCGAGTCGACCGGGACTATTGTAGTGTCTGCATATCGGTGAACAAAACCGATTAGATGTACATTTTATTTATTTATTTATTTAATTATTTATTTTTTTTTCAGTCGTTAATTGGAAACGAACCGTTGCTAGAGCAATTGTAGAGATCGCCGGGTTGACCGTTGATCGTGTAAGCATCGGATACATTAGGAGCAGCCCCTGTTCTCATGGCCTGTCTCACAACATCAATTGGGTTTGCATTCCACCATTCACCTGCTCACCAAGTAATTGTACTATGTGCTTAGTAATTTGTGCTACTAGTAGTTTTTGGAGAAAAGAAAAAAAGTAAAGGTATCGTTTGGATCACTTGGTTTACCAAGAAGAAGGGTACTCTCGCGGTTTGGCTTCTTGAAAGGGTAAGATTCTCGGGGGCGAATGATCAAAGCTCCATAAACGGTGGCTCTCAGCCATGAACTGTGAGCATGCCACCAAAGTGTGCCTTCTTGTCCTTGGATCGTGAATCGGTAGGTGTAACTTCCTCCTGGCCTTATTGGGCATTGAGTCACGAATTCTGGGCCATCGGCCCATCCAGTCCTCATCTGCCTCACCCCATGCCTATGCAATTTGATTCAACATTATATGTAGATATAAAAATAACAAAAAGATGCGAATGTATATGAATCTATTCTCGATTTCTAGTAGCGAAAGCTGAGAATCACTTCTGTTGAGTTCACAGCCTGTTTTTT